CAATTTCCACAGGCTTTGTCAAGAAAAGCAGAAATATTTTTTATCGTTTTAATTAATTAAGTATTAAGTGCATTATCCATTTCCTTACCTTTTTCTCTTTCTTCATATCTGCCGTCCACGTGTCGGACATCTATAGGGGCAGTTAGTTATGTTTTGGAAACAGAGCATGTGCGAGAATATCATATATGTACTGCAGTATCCTTTTTTCTAATTAATGAAGCATATTTTTCCTTCATTCATCCTCCATTACTGTTCATAAAATTCACATGGTATCCAGAGCTTAGGGTGCGATCATGGTACGCACGATACAAAATCCATGGCCGGCGTTGAACGTCAGCTCCGGGAGCTCAGAACAGGACCCCACATACCTGCAAAACTCCGATCATCCTGGCGCTACGCTCGTGACCTCTCCATTGACAGGTAACAATTACTTACCTTGGAGCAGATCCATGAAAATAGCTCTAGGAGCTAAAACTAAGCTTGGGTTCATAGATGGAACCACACCTGAACCAGAAAAAGATTCACCAGATTATGAGAAATGGAAAAGAGTTGATTGGATGGTTACATCTTGGATCCTGAATTCGATTTCAAAAGACATAGTTGAGGCTTTTATATATGCTAACACAGCAAAAGAACTATGGGATGAGTTGGGAGAAAGGTTTGGTGAGTGCAATGGGCCTCTACTGTTTCAGCTACAGAAAGAAATTTCAAATATGAACCAAGGAAATATGTCCATTATGATGTACTTTACCAAACTCAAGAAACTCTGGGATGAACAAAATAGCCTTGACCCTTTGCCTATTTGTGAATGTGGAGCTGCAAAATTAATGGCAGAAAGAGATGGAAAAGGGAAGCTGATGCAGTTTCTAATGGGGTTAAATGAAACATTTGACAGCATAAGGAGTCAGATCCTCATATCAGACCCTTTGCCAAATGTGAATAAAGCCTACACCATGATCCTGAGGGTTGAGAGACAAAGAAGTGTTCAAATCAATGCACAAGAACAAGGAGAAAACAGTGCAATGATGGGGAGGATTCAAAGTTCCAACAGGAATTCCAACACTCAAAATGGGTGGACAGGAAACAAAGGGAAAATGAACACAAGAAGAACCAAAGAAGAAAAGGCAAAGCTCTACTGTGAGCATTGTCAAATGAATGGACATGAAGTGAAGGAATGCTTCAAAATTCATGGATATCCTGATTGGTGGAAACAACCAAAGGAGAACAAATATAAACAAAGCAACATGGCAAATCTAGTGGGCTCAGAAGGGAAACCAACTCAGAAAAATGCAGTAGAGTCAGAAGGAACTACTAGCAGCCAAATGGACATGAGTAGTCTTATCCAACAGGAGATAAGGAAATACATGATGGGAAAAGCAACCATGGCTGATACTAATTTCAGCTATGCACATTTTGTTGAATCAAAAGATGAGATGCCTAATACTGGGATGCAATATGCACTGCACTTTGAGGAAAACATAAACACAACAACATGGATCCTGGATACAGGAGCAACAAGGCACATGTGCTCAAATTCAACCTTACTCACAGAAATCACAAGTCTAAAAGAGCCAATCTCAGTGTGCCTGCCAGATGGAACAATTAAAGTGGTAAAACAAGCAGGAACTCTCAAGCTTATGAGGGAATTGACTCTAAAGGAAGTGCTACTGGTGCCAACATTCAAATTCAATCTTATATCAGTGGCACAATTATGTCAAACTCATGAGATGAGGTGTACTTTCACACAAAGCCATTGCATAATCCAGGGAGTGCAACATGATAAAGTTCTGCTAACAGGAAAAGCAAAGAATAAATTATACACCTTGGAGCAGAAGCTGACAGAAGGAAAGGGAGTCCATCCCACATCACTCATGTCACAAGCTGAAGCTTGTCTTCACAACAGCAACAACAACTGCCAGATATGGCATCAAAGGCTTGGACACAGCCCAATGAGTTCAATGAAACACTTGAAAGCCCTGAATCAAAGTTACACAGAACAAGTAGATAAGCAGCTGAAGGCCTGTGAAGTTTGTCATAAGGCAAGACAGCCAAGGATGGTGTTTCCAAGGAGTAAGATAGACTCAAAAGGCATTTTTGAAATGATACACATAGATATATGGGGTCCATACAGAGGAGAGAGCATCTCAAACACTCCATACCTGCTTAACATAGTGGATGATCATAGCAGGGCAACTTGGACATACACTTTATCTCACAAGAATCAAGCTACTGAAATACTGAAAAATTTTCTGCATATGGTGAATACACAATTCAACCTGAAAGTTAAAGTGGTGAGAAGTGACAATGGGACAGAATTCACGGGGCATGAATGTCAGAAATTGCTGCAGGAACATGGAATCTTACACCAAAGGACTTGTCCATACACACCCCAACAGAATGGGGTGGTTGAAAGGAAACACAAACACATGCTTGAAGTGGCAAGGGCATTGATGTTCCAGTCAAATGTTCCATCAGAACTCTGGCCTTACTCAATACTAACTGCCACTCACATCATCAATAGACTGCCAAGTTCAGTCTTAGAATGGAAGACACCTTTTGAAGTGCTATATGGGAAAGAACCAGATCTAGGAGGATTGAAAGTGTTTGGGTGCTTGGCATATGCAACAAATGTGCACCCAGCAAGAGACAAATTCATGAGAAGAGCAAGCAAGTGTGCCTTCATTGGCTATGTTGGAGGACAGAAGGGATACAGGTTGTATGACATTGAGGATCACAAGATTCTGACCTCTAGAGATGTGATATTTTTTGAGGATGTTTTCCCATATCAAGAAAAAAAACAGGAAAGTGATGTACCCCTACCAACAAATGAGTCACATCCAGAAGAGACTCAAACTGCAGAACAGAAAGAACAAGTAGACTCTATGGACCAGAGTCCACACCAAACCACAGAAACAAGAGAAGAAGATGTGGAGACACCACCATTAGCTCTAAGGAAAAGGGGTAGAATCAGTCATCAACCCTCATGGCTAAGGGATTTTGTGGTCAACACAGCAACAGAAGGCAAAGCTAAGAAATTAGCAATCAAAGGAGAACAAACATGTATGTTGTATCCACTCAAGACCTACCCTTATCAAACATCACCACATTTCAGAGAAGAATATGTTTCATTCTTGGCCAGAATGGACAAAGAGAAAGAACCACTGGATTATAAAGAGGCAGCAAAAGATCAAAGGTGGGTGGATGCAATGGAAAAGGAACTAAAAGCCCTTGAGACAAACAACACTTGGCAAATCACAACACTGCCTCAAGAAAAAAGGGCCATTGGATCAAAATGGGTCTTCAAAGTGAAGAGAAATCCAGATGGAAGTGTGGAAAGATTCAAAGCAAGATTGGTTGCAAAGGGATATCATCAAATACAAGGGGTTGATTATACTGACAGCTTCTCACATGTGGCTAAGATTGTAACAGTAAGAATGATCTTTGCCCTTGCAGCAATGAAGGGTTGGGAGCTCCATCAGTTGGACATAAACAATGCATTCCTACATGGGAGTTTGACAGAGGAAGTCTACATGTCACTTCCAGATGGCTACACAAAAGCAAGCTCAGATAAAGTATGCCTTCTGAAGAAAAGCCTATATGGATTAAAACAGGCATCCAGGGAGTGGAATTCAGAATTTTGCAAGAGACTGACCAACTATGGACTGACACAATCATCTGGTGATCATTGTCTGTTTACTAGAGAAAGTAAAGATGGTTTTTTTGGCACTATTGGTGTATGTGGATGATGTTCTCATCACAGGGACACATCCTGAGGAATTGAAAGCTCTTAAAACCTTTTTGGACAGAACTTTCACCATCAAAGATTTGGGATTTGCAAGGTACTTCCTAGGGATTGAAATAGCCAGGAATGAGGAAGGGATATACCTCAATCAGAGGAAATACGTGCTAGACATCCTAGACAGAATGGGACACAAAAATTGCAAGCCCACATCCACACCATTGCCAGCAGGAATTAAACTAAGGGGTGAAGATGGTGATGCACTTGGGGAACCTGAAAAATTCAGGAGATTGATTGGACAACTGCTCTATCTGAACTTCACAAGGCCAGACATCACATTTGCAGTACAACAACTCAGTCAATTCATGAACAAGCCCACACAGATACATTGGGATGCAGCTATACACATAATTAGGTACCTGAAAGGAGCACCATCGCTGGGATTATTCTATTCAGCTAAGTCAACCTTCAATTTGATTGGTTACAGCGATGCGGACTGGGGAACATGTCCAGACACAAGGAAGTCAATCACGGGCTACTGCATCTTTCTCGGAAAATCTCTCATATCCTGGAAAACAAAAAAACAAAACACAGTCTCAAGATCATCCGCAGAAGCAGAGTACAGAGCCCTAGCAAGCACAGTCTGCGAGCTACAATGGATACATAATATAGGGGCCGATCTATTGATGCCTATTTCAACTCCTATCACACTATGGTGCGACAACCAAGCGGCCATACACATCGGAGAAAACCCCATTTTCCATGAACGGACGAAACATCTAGATATCGATTGTCATCTGGTCAGAAACAAGGTAAAGGAAGGATTCATTCACCTGAGCCATGTCTACTCTCATGGACAGCTTGCAGATCTTCTCACAAAGCCGTTGGGAGTCTCTGGTTTCAAAAAACAAGTGTTCAAGTTAGGCATGTGTGATCCACACGAGTGCCCAACTTGAGGAGGGCGTGTCAAGAAAAGCAGAAATATTTTTTATCGTTTTAATTAATTAAGTATTAAGTGCATTATCCATTTCCTTACCTTTTTCTCTTTCTTCATATCTGCCGTCAACGTGTCGGACATCTATAGGGGCAGTTAGTTATGTTTTGGAAACAGAGCATGTGCGAGAATATCATATATGTACTGCAGTATCCTTTTTTCTAATTAATGAAGCATATTTTTCCTTCATTCATCCTCCATTACTGTTCATAAAATTTCACAGGCTTCCGATAGGGAAGGAGAGAAAAATTGGTCCGTAATTTGGTTAAGGACTTAAATGCACATCCGACGAGATGGTACCGTGATAGGACCATAAATTTATATAAGATTTTTCTGCAAAATTTTTGTCTCGGTAAAAAAAAAACATGTGAATGGATAAGTATTGTTTTCTACTGGAATGCATATAATAAAGCTTATCTTATGTATTCTAATTGTGTTAAATTTAGAAAAATGATATAAATAATAAATTTTATACTAATATTTCTTGTTTAATGAGATTTATCTAAAAGGATTTCTTTCATAGCATAGAGTTCTAATGAATTGCGAATTCAGACTCGGATCGATGCCTTAATTATTAAACGACAAATGAAAA